ACTACAGTAACCAATTCAAAGAGAGGTGAAAAGGTGACAAGGTGGATCTCGAAAGGGTTTATACCATTTCAGCGGAAGAAGACTGATCAGTGGTGATAATCGGTACAATCACGACTTTAATTTCAGCGAGAACATGCAATGCATCTATCAATCTCAAGGGGTAGGGGTTTTATTGGCATGGCCTGAATATCCACTGTTAGAGTTTTAGCATAATTTTTTGGGGATATTTGATCACCTGCACTTGCCCCAGGGTGATGAACTTTGATATTATGATAATGAGCAATCGTGTTGTCCCGGGAGTGGAACTTTAACATCTAGGAAAATGTCAAAATCACCACCCATACCCCCTCCTTCTCCCCCGCCCCTCCCCTTGATATTGCTTCAATCCGGGCTTGTAATTTTATATTTATACAAGGAAAACCCTTGTTTGCTAGATTTTTTAGCATAGGTTTGATAACATTTTGCACAAACGCGAATTTTAATATTTTTTCCAAGTTCAGTTGCATGTTAATTATAGACCCTTACACGGTTTCTGTTTCATATTAGTTGGGGCAAACACGACAAAAATTACAGGAAATGTATGGGATTTTTATTAGACTGTACTGTGTTACTAGGAGAAGATATTTTGCTAAAAACGCGACTTAGTTATAATTGTTAATGTTTTACTGTTGGCGATGCCGGGTGTTTATTTTATTCAGGGTTGGATAGCGTGAGATTATAAACATGCTTATATCAAGAGTAAAAATGCACTGCGTGTTAAGACTAATTCATAGAGTACATTCTGAAAAGAGAATCGAACTATTCTGAAATTTATCTGGATAATCAATAATACAAGAGAAATGTCAAAATTTCACACTCATATTTGAAATGAATGCTTTTGAAATTGGTTCCTTTATCTAATAATGTCCAAGGATAATTATAGCTGCATATTTTTGAAGCCAAATAAATTAAAGTTTTTTGTGCTTCAATCCTTCAAACATTTTTGCTTAAAAGCCGCGCTGGTTGTGAAAGTTACATAATGGCCTTTTTATGGCTTTTTAGTCTTTTCACGAAGCCGATAGAAATCGTAATGTTTCTTGCTTTTACTTTTAACTGCGGTAATATTTTAGCTTTTCGTCATGAACAAAAAGTTAAATTCTAAAATCAACTTTTGCAAACATGTCACAAAACCAAGCGAAGGTCAAGAACCACCTTATTTTCAATCTTGTCACGAAAAAAAGCTTATCGCGGTCAAAATATTTTGAACGTGGGATATTGACGTTTTAGTGTGTTTCGCTGTTAAGACAGCAAAACGTTCTTACACCCAACGAAGCGAATCTTGTTTGAACACTGGGGATTTCCCAAATTTTAATTGGGGCATATAGGACTACATAGTGTGACGTATTTTGACCATTCACACATAGCGAAAAAATATTTGAGGGATTATAAAGAGAAATAACGCCGTATTAAAATGATAGTAATAAGTTTTAAATAATAAGTTTATTTAATGCATCTTAACAATAAAAATACAAAAATATTCCGCTCGTTAAAGTTGTACACTTTAAATCGCGTTTGTTAGCCGCATTTCCTACTGTTCTTACTGTTTCTCTGATCTTACTGTTCCTCTGTTCCTTCTGTTCCTCTGTTCCTACTGTTTCTACTGTTCCTCTGTTCCTACTGTTTATACTCTTCCTCTGTTTCCACTGTTCCTACTGTTCCTCTGTTCCTACTGTTCCTCCGTTCCTACTGTTCCTCTGTTCCTACTCTCCCTACTGTTCCTACTGTTCCTACTGTTCCTACTGTTCCTACTGTTCCTCTGATCTTACTGTTCCTACTGTTCCTACTGTTCCTACGTTCCTACTGTTCCTACTGTTCCTACTGTTCCTCTGATCTTACTGCTCCTACTGTTCCTACTGTTCCTCTGATCCTACTGTTGCTCTGTTCCTACTGTTCCTCTGTTTTCACTGTTCCTACTGTTCCTCTGTTCCTACTGTTGCTCTGTTCCTACTGTTCCTACTGTTCCTACTGTTGCTCCGTTCCTACTGTTCCTACTGTTCCTACTGTTCCTACGTTCCTACTGTTCCTACTGTTCCTACTGTTCCTCTGATCTTACTGCTCCTACTGTTCCTACTGTTCCTACGTTCCTACTGTTCCTACTGTTCCTCCGTTCCTCTGATCCAACTGTTCCTCTGTTCCTACTGTTCCTACGTTCCTACTGTTCCTACTGTTCCTACTGTTCCTCTGATCTTACTGTTCCTACTGTTCCTACTGTTCCTACGTTCCTACTGTTCCTACTGTTCCTACTGTTCCTCTGATCTTACTGCTCCTACTGTTCCTACTGTTCCTCTGATCCTACTGTTGCTCTGTTCCTACTGTTCCTCTGTTTTCACTGTTCCTCTGTTCCTACTGTTGCTCTGTTCCTACTGTTCCTACTGTTCCTACTGTTGCTCCGTTCCTACTGTTCCTACTGTTCCTACTGTTCCTACTGTTCCTACTGTTCCTACTGTTCCTCTGATCTTACTGCTCCTACTGTTCCTACTGTTCCTACGTTCCTACTGTTCCTACTGTTCCTCCGTTCCTCTGATCCAACTGTTCCTCTGTTCCTACTGTTCCTCTGTTCCTACTGTTCCTACTGTTCCTACGTTCCTACTGTTCCTACTGTTCCTACTGTTCCGCTGTTCCTACTCTCCCTACTGTTCCTACTGTTCCTACGTTCCTACTGTTCCTACTGTTCCTACTGTTCCTACTGTTCCTCTGTTACTACTGTTCCTCCGTTCGTACCGTTCCTACTGTTCCTCTGTTCCTACTGTTTCTCTGTTCCTAGTCTCCCTACTGTTCCTACTGTTCCTACTGTTCCTATACTGTTCCTCTGTTCCTACTGTTCCTACTGTTCCTACTGTTCCTCTGTTCCTACTGTTCCTCTGTTCCTACTGTTCCTCTGTTCCTACGTTCCTACTGTTCCTACTGTTCCTACTGTTCCTACGTTCCTACTGTTCCTACTGTTCCTAATGTTCCTCTGTTCCTACTGCTCCTACTGTTCCTACTGTTCCTCTGATCCTACTGTTGCTCTGTTCCTACTGTTGCTCTGTTCCTACTGTACTGTTCCTCTGTTTTCACTGTTCCTACTGTTCCTGTGTTCCTACTGTTCCTACTGTTCCTCCGTTCCTCTGATCCAACTGTTCCTCTGTTCCTACTTAATTCCTACTGTTACTCTGATCCTACTGTTCGTCTGATCCTACTGTTCCTACTGTTCCCCTACTGTTCCTCTACTGTTCCTTTTGCTGCTAGCCATTTGCTATTACGTTATTAATGACGTCAGTCAGGTCGTCGTACACGAGCCATGAGCCGAAATCATGTGCAATCACTATTTTAATCATTGGAAAATGCCAGTTTTTTTTTTAAAAAAAAGTAACATATGCATTTACAAGTATGTTTTCAAAGCATTTTTGTCAGTCATGAGTACTTGTCTTACTGAATAGACCAACAGCAGCAGATGGAAGTGTTTTTCTTACATTTAGCTATTTACAGCAATGAGTATGGACTGGTAATTAATTTTGGGAGAGGAAAGTGGGTGAGGAATTCCCAGAATACATTTATTGGAGAAAAGGAGGGGAGTGGGCTATAAAACATCCCAAGGCATTAGTTTTTTCTTGGTGCCCTTGACTTTCATACAATAGGAACTCTAGCTGCTTTCTTCCTGTCTACCTGACTTCGCAGGTATTAAAAGCTTGATCTGAATGTTCACAATGACTAAAATCTCAATAAGAATGCTTGTAATGATGAGGTCAACTATAAACAAGTGTTATGCATACAAAACAAGCTGCCTTCTGAAAGCCATTAATTTCAGGCTTAAGTCTATCTTCATTTGCATTGAAAAAATAATTGCAGGGTATCCCTCTTTTCCTCCCATAATTAATGACCTTTCCCTACATTTATTCACGAAAAAGAGCAAGGCCAAATATTATTAATCATTATCAAATGTACAGTGTTAATGCTTTCACAAGTGATATTTTGATTCAATCTGCTTCATGTATGGTACTGATATGGAGAATTCATTCAATTGTTAAGCCTTTAAGCCCCAATATCCACATATAAATTCTCCAAACTGATCTATATATATTTCCTTAAAGAATGAGTTGAGAGAATTTGAAAAAAGATCAAAGCATTTTCCTTTCGGTGATCATTTTGTAAATTCTCATAACCTTTCCCTTTGATTGTCTATTGATTTTTTCAGGAGAAAATTGATGTTGGTCACTATTGGGACTTAAAGGGTTAAAACCTTTATTTACCCATTGTAAAAAGGGTTAACAAACGGAAGTTACACATATGCAGTGTCCATTGTTCTCTGGCTCCTTACTTTCATTACTGGCACTCTGGGAAATCTTAGTTTTCCCTTAGTAATCATAAGCTGGGCAAGGCCATTGGGCTGCTTTAAATTTCTCCAAGAGTAACCAATTTCCACATTGTTTAATAATATACAGTCAGGATCCTGATGTAGTTCACTTTGTATTTTATAAAATATTATCTCAATAAAGGACTTTGAACTGAGGGACTGCATCAGATTTTTCTGGAGTTGAGGGGTGGTGTTGGGATTTTTGACCTTACACTTTTTGAATAGACAAAGCAATTTATTGCCTTTTGTGAAGTCAGCACACATTCAAGGGTAGCTGTCGTAAGAGCTATTACCCATAATCTATGTACATGCAACTTTTTACCACTGTTGCTTTCCAACAGCCTCCTGATGGTAAAATAATACTCATACAGTCAAACCAGGTAAACAGTAAACACCAGAAATATTTCAGGAATGTTATTGTTTTACAAGAAAAAAGCCAATCAGGCATGAAAAAACTAACCACAAGTAGCAACGGTAATTGCTTATTTATTAGTTTGTGGTTTTGTGGCCAGTTCCGGTGTCCTGGTCTTCGCTGTGATTGGTCATAACAAAATAAACATTCCTGAGAAATTTCAAAAGTTCACGGTTTTGTCGCATTGTTTATCATCTATTCTAAGACAGCCACACTTTACAAGTTGAAGAACACTTGGCATCTACCATCAACCAAGTCTACAACATTTCCACAAGTTAGGTAATTAATTGTCATCCTCTCTTCAAGACTTCGAATGTTTTCTTTTATGAATCCTTTAAAAATCAGAAACTGGATAAATTTAGTCGCATTGTTCACATTTAGAAATTGGTCTTTCCCCTTTCCATACTGTGCGACTGTGTTAAATCTTTGTGTAATGATCGTTTTGGCCTTTGACCCCATATAAGTCATTGCCAAGTCAGTCAATTTTGGTTTTCCTTCAAGTGCACTGATTTGGCGTAAACAGTCAATGACGTTTCTCGCATGAAGCGTCAAGTCCTTTTGTTCCTGGAAACTGTCTTCTTGACAGATATCACAGCAGTCACATGCTTCACCTAGATTCTCATCAAAATATCTTGCGATGAATTGTTGTCTACAGAGTGAGGTTTGCATTCAGAAGTCTGTAAGGGAATTTAGGAGCGTTACACTGTCCTCACTAAAAGACATGGCAGCTACATTTCGCAGATGAAATGACCTATCAGCAAAGCGAAAAAGCAGAATACAGGAACAATTGTCACCATCGCGTCCTCCTCTTCCTGATTCCTGGACGTAATCCTCTAGTGATGATGGAAGAGTAAGGTGTATGACAAACCTGACACCCTTCTTGTCAATCCCCATCCCAAAGGCATTAGTGCAACACATTACTTTGATTTTGTCTTCAAGCCACATGTTAGCATTTCGAATACGTTCACCACCTTCCATTCCTGCATGGTAGTATGTTGCAGAAATGCCCTTTTCCTTCAACTCAAAGGCCATTTCAACAGTGTCTGCTTGGCGAGCACAGTAAACAATTCCACACAGACCATCAAAATCACCGCTTACTATCTGTGCTACTTGATCTTTGGCCTTTAGTTCCTTTTTAGCGATCACGGAAAAGCAGAGGTTATTTCTACGACATGGCAGTCTCACTTCTTCGGGGTTTTCCATCTGAAGTGCTGTGCTGATAATCGATAAAGTCTGTTTTGTTGCTGTACCAGTAAGGGCAACAAATGGCAATCCATACTTTCTCAAAATACCCAGTTGTTGGTAGGCAGGTCTAAAGTCCTTTGCCCAGGTATCTATACAATGGGCTTCATCCACAACAAACATTTTCAGTCTATTTTCACATCTTAAAACGTCCAGACAACTTTGGAAGCAGTCTGTAATTACAGCTTCAGGGCTAATAAATACAAACTGGTACTGACAATCGGGCTGCTTTAAATTGTGGAGTATATTTTTCCTATCATCATCACTTAAAAGGGTGTTATAGTAGCATGTGTTTATCCCATACCCTCTAAGTCTTGCAACCTGGTCACACATTAGCATCAAGATTGGTGAAATTATAATGGCCAATCCAGGCGCCATAATGCAAGGTAGTGTATATACCACTGTCTTCCCACCACCAGTTGGTATGACAACAATCACATCTTTGCCAGATAAAATTTTTGAAATAGCATTCCACTGCCCTGGCCTGAAGTTGGTGTGGCCAAAAACAGTCTGCAAAACTTCCAGCGGGCTCTTGGATCCAACTGTATACTCCCCAGTGAATACAGAGTTTTGGGCAAACAAGGAGGTGTCACCTTGGGTAATTGCAAGTGTCTGCAGTATTAAAAATAATAATATTGATTATAAGTCGCAACTTCCTTAATCTTTAAGTCTTTACCAGAAAGGGAATAATAAAAAATGAAAAGTAGAATATGGGATACACCGAATTCACACAACTAGAAATTATACTATGGAGAAAAACTGTTAAAAAGATACTCCACGAGTATACAGAATTGTTAATACCATCCATCTTAGACTGACAATATTGTATGTTAAATAAAGGAACAACCAAAGGCAATATTTATTTACCCTCCTGCCTGGAATAAAACACTCGACGTAAATTTTGTCCCCAGCAAACCACGTGCGAAAGCTTTGTCTGCTAGTAGAGTTGCCAACTTCTTCCACTTGAACAACACATGGTCGGTCTCCAAGAGCTCTCAGTTTCCCACAGTGGTGTAAAATCAAACCGTATAGCTTTGCCGCTTCTCTTCTTGTTTTGGCAACAATTTTGGCTCCAAATACACCCTGTTCCTCCACGCTCACATTATACTCTGAGTAACTACCAACAGTACACAACTGCAGAAGAGAACAAATCTTTCATCACTCAATTAAATCGAAAGGAAAAAAGATGCTTACGTATCGTGTTGAGGTAAACAAAATAAGGAGCTACTAACCGTTTCTAAGCGAAATCTGCTTAAGCGCGCGATGGCATCTGCTGTTTCCTTGCCGTGAAGTTGCTGGAAAAGGGTCTTGCATCGCACTTCGTCTACATCGATGTTTCGGTGCATAGTACGAAAATGCTGGATCATTCCGGCTCCCTTGGCGAAGAAGTTAGTAACACTGGCATCCTGAAAACATTTCCAACAAGTGCTTTTTCCACCTTGCTTTGCTCTCTGCAAAGGTCGTTCAGAAAGAGAGACAGCTTCCTCTTCTTGTCGGACTGTATGTTCCGCCAT